TTTTCCCAATTTACAAAAAAAATTTTTCCCTCTTTTTTTTTCCCCCCCCCCCCCCCCCCCAACAGATATTTGTTTGGTTGGTTGGATTGAGCAGGAGGTTTGTGTTTTTAAATATTAAATATGTGAAATTATCTGTCAATGTCATGTTTTTGTTGCATGACAGATAGTTCAGCAGGAATATGTAAACTTTAGAAATGCACCGTATACTGATCTTGGAACAATCTGAAGGCGTTTCATTTGGAAGTCTGGCAGAAATCATGCCCACCTGTTACAGACATTTACTGATTTTTGTTTTCCTACAGAAACTTCCAGGCTTCGCAAAATAGTTGATTTAACAAAACAACATAAAAATATAATCGCCTGCCATGGCTGCATTTTGTCTTTGTGTCTCTGCTGCTGTGTTTCTGCGACTGGAGTCCAGTTTTCTAAGCATCCATCAGAACTGCAGGAGCTTTGTCCTTGTGTGTGTGTCGGTGTGTGTGTGTGTGTGTGTGTGTGTGTGTGTGTGTGTGTGTGTATGTGTGTGTGTGTGTGTTTTATTCCTTCTCACAGAGGAGTGCGCTCAATCAAAACTGAACGCAACCTTCAAAGGAAGGAAGGTGATGTCAGTGATAAACTGGGATTTAAGTTCTGTTTGAAGTTCATGCGAACAACTCTCACGTACCTCCTGGTGGTCTGACAAGGCATAGCAGGATAAAAGAGATGAAGAGGAAAAAAACAAAACAAAACAAAAGAACAAGAGATTCATAAACTGGCAACACACTCACTCACACACGCACGACATTTGCGCATATGCCACTGTCTGCTATGCTTTGATTATGTTCTTGTTCATATCTATCTTCTTTATTCGTTCTCAATGGGCCCTATTTTATCAGCAATTAAGTTCTTAATTGCTCTGGGTAATAAAGAGTCTATTAATCCTGTGACGGCTAATAAAGCTCCAGATGTCTGGCAGGAAGCGGTGAACTGGCAACAGCCACCACCCTGTCTTGCTCTTGACAATATTTGCCTGTGTACAGGTCTCCTACATCTATAGAAATGCTTATTTCTAGATTTTTAGCATGGCAGATTTGTTTGTGCATTTCCACTGCTCAGTCTCGCCTTAACTGACAAACTCTACCTTCAACCCAGTTTCCTTATCTGTGTATTTTACTCTGTTTCCCCCTTTTTTTTTTCCCTCTGACCCAGTTATTTTTTCTTTCCGTTTTCTCCTGGGGTTGCCAGATATCAGTGGATCCGTTCTCAGCTCCTCTTTGAGCTTTCAAATGCAAACGCTTGTAGTTAGTGTTTACTCCCAGGAGATGGCAGTGTTTGGCAGCGCTTACTCATCAGCTGTGAGCAGACGACGGCCATAATGTTTCGAATTAGACCTTTAAGACAAAATCTTTCTTCCATCAGCACATTTCCTCTTTGTGTTTGGACACTAAAGCTGCGGTGAGAGGGGTAATGGATATTTAAAGGTACCAACACACAACAGAACATAAACAAAACCTTGACCCCGTTATTCCAACCTTGGGATTTTGTCATCGTTATGTGATAATTGCACAACTTCACAAGGTTCCGTCATTAACACTGGACACGTAAATTTAAAAGTGATTAAAGGGACAGCGTTGTTATTTTTCAAGCTTGCTATTCAAGTCAGTGTTTATGCCAAACACAATGCCCATCCAAAGCAAAATTAGTGATAGTAATGTCTCCAGTTTTGAGGTAATATTTGATGATTTGTCCAGTGAAGAGAAATCTATGATAATGTGTAGAAGAGAGTACATTGGCGACTTAAATCACCAGCACCCTACTCAGAGATTTAAAAGCGCTCTGTGGTGAGTCCAATCTCCACAATGACAAAAAACA